AAGAATCTTACAAAAATAGACATAGTCTATGAATGGCAGGAAAATGATGTTTTGCATCATTTCTATGCTTTCTACATTTCTACAAAATATTAGGGTCTAGGCTTTTCTTCATCACTCCTATATACCGCTCAGTGAAGGGGCAGGAAGGAACAGTCAAAAAGAAACAAAATGTTACTCATTACTCAGTCAAAAGCCTATAAAGATAAGAACCACTTGCTCATCTTTCTGAAGTTGTAATTGACTTCAGAGTATAGATTTGTTTAATGTTCATAAGGTAAGAAAATGAAGGGCTGTCAAGATGCACTTGAAAGTTTCTAGCACAATTATTGTTCTTCTATTCTGAGAAAAATATATCTTCACAATGATAACATCATTTTTTTAATTTTTAGTTTCTCTTTGTCAGGACTGACAACGTATGAATCCTATCTCTTCCACACACTACAGAAACTTGGGCACATTAATTAATTCCTGAAAAATCTGTAAAATTCACACATCAATAGTGTCAGTTCAAGGATCAAATGAGGACATGATGGAAACCCTATGGATGCGACGGTATGAATAGGCTATGGAAGAATAGATGAACAAGTGTCAATTTGTCTTCAAAGTACTTATGTTTATAACCATAGACCTGTGACATTCTCAACTATTGTCAGAAAAGCTTCTTGTTGTTTTCTTTCTTTTAATATCCATTTTATGAACATGAGCATTTTGCTTGCATGTATACCATATACATGTCTGGTGCACACAGAGGTCAGAGAAGGGTGTCAGATCCTCCTGAACTGGGGTTCTAGAGAGTTGTAAGCCACCATGTAGGTTCTAGGAATCAAAGTTGGGTGCTCCAAAATAACAGTAAATACTCTTAACCACTGAGCCATTTCTCCAGCCCTGGAGTTTCTTTTTTAAGTATATAGCAGCCAATGAAAAGATGCCTAACTGGTCAAAGTGCTGAAACTAGGAGACTGTCCAGCCATAAATAGAACTTTTATATTAACCCTACGACAACCAAGGTTCAAAGAATATCATGAAAGATGAGACAGAAAGACTATAAGAGCTGAAGAGCGGGAGCCATGCTGTGTACTGCTTCTTTATCTGTAAGGTGACATAGGTACATAAGAAGTTTACAAACCCCAAATCACAACCCCATTGGTCTTCTTGAGGTTTTTCAATTTTCCTTGATTAAATATTTCTCAAGTTGTTGCTAGTCTTTGGTGAATTTCCAAAGTTCTAAAAGTGTCAGTTATGACATTTTGGCCAAGAATTTTCATTGTTTTTATGTTCAGGCAGGTTCATCATGATCCTTAGTTTAACAACTATACTTCTACTGTATGGTTTTAATTCTTATCATGGAAGAGTATCAGCTTTTATCAAATGGTGTATCTCCAGATAGCCACACCATTTTAATCCTTTAATCTATTGATACAGTGAATTATATTTAATTGTATAAAGCTAACCTAGTATTCTTGAGATGTACACTACTTGGCTACTGTTATAGTTCAAATGCATGTACATCCAAAATTGATGTTGAAATGAAATTGCTATTATAACAATAGTAAGGGGAGCCGGGCGGTGGAGGCGCATTCCTTTAATGCCAGCACTTGGGAGGCAGAGACAGGCGGATTTCTGAGTTTGAGGCCAGCATGGTCTACAGAGTGAGTTCCAGGACAGCCAGAACTACACAGAGAAACCCTGTCTCGAAAAAACAAAAAAAAAAAAAATAGTAAGGTGTAGGACATTTTAGAATCTCTGCCTTTATAAATCAATTAACATATTACTAAAATTGTGGGTTAATTATAAAAGAGTGAGCCCAAGCTATTCTTTTTCTGTGATTTACCCTCCTGTATTCCCCATAGAGGATGACAAACACATTAAGAAGTACCTAGGTAGATATTAGCACCTTGACTTTGTGTTTCTTGTACCAATAATGGTGTGAAAATTAATTTATGTTTTTTTATAAATCACCCATTTTGAGATATTCTTTTATAGCAGCAAAAAGAACATGAATAGTTTTGATTACAGTCTTTTCTAAATTATCAAGTTCTATTCATTTGCATTTGGTTAGACTATTGCCATCTATGGAGACAAATAAGCCTCACCTTTATTTTTCCCTCCCTTCAATTTTTTTTCAATCAGCATTAAGTCTATGTTTGAATTCTAAAATAAATCAGGAAATGTTCACTTGTTATCTGTTTTAGGAAATACTGGAATGCTTTCTTGTTTAAATGTTTGCTAGAACTTACCAGTAACACAATCTGCCCTACAGTTTTCCTTGGGAGAAGACTGCTGTTTAGAGACTTCATTCATCTAAGTGTTCTATAAGCATGTGGGTTTCTAATTCTTATCAAATGGGTTTTGATATATTAGGCTTTTAAAAATATTTCTATTTTATTAAATTTTCATGTTTTTAGAGAGAATATTCTCATGATTTCTTATCTCTAACTTGAAGCATCTGTAACAATTCATTTTTCATTATGAAAATTTTACCAAAAAATACAAAACACATGATTTTCTCTACTTAGAAAAATTTTTGATTCTGATAACTGTTTTTTCCAAATATACTTTTCTTTTGAATTTTCTGCTTATTCTCATTTTAAAGGTGAATATATTTGGAGTTACTGCATAAAAATGTTCCTTATCAAATAAAACATGACAAAATTTATAAAGCAGTCCATATTAGTAAAAGATTGCTTAAAACAAAATGGTTTTGAATTCTCACGTTTCTAGTCACTATTTTTTACTCAGCTTTCTCAGTCTTCTTCACAACCACTACTTCCCTTTACAAATTCTATAGCTGAGACTACATATTCTCCTTCATTGCTCTATAAAACTACTTTTTACAGCCAACTCATGTTTTCTTGATGACAAATGTTTTCTATGCATTATTATGATTAAATAATATGAGACCCATAACAATATTCCTTATACTCTGTTGCTTACTATACATTCTTTCCTTTACATTTAAATTGCCCACACAATTTGCAAATATCTTAAAATGTTGACTTGTTAGGAGTTTGTAATGTTGTGATATATATATATATATATATATATATATATATATATATATATATATATATTTCAATTTCTGACTTGATCCTTCTTCTTAAGTCAGGAACTCCAATTTCTCTTCTCCAAGATGTATCATAGGAACTCCATTATTTCCATGCTTTTCTGGTTTTTGATTTGGCTGTAAAGAGATTTTCTGAAATTACCCTTGCCTAATTGAAAGATGTAATACCCTCCTCATTGTAAAGGATGATATCTGTTAGAAGAGAGGACACTGCATACATATGTTTGATAAAAAGACATTTGAAAAATATATGCTGGCTTTACCCATCAAGTCTTCTGATATTAAACAATTATCACTATGTATACTTCCAAAGGACAAGGTTATAAGAGCCTGTGAATAGCTGAATAAACAGAAGTCTAGAGAGTATAGTACCCACATTCTGAGTAGTTTCTATTACTATGTCTTGAAGCACATACACTTTTCTCCTTCTATCTCTAACATGTTACTAATAGCTACAACTAGTTCATATTCTTGTTTGCAAAATCCTAAACCATGTGCAAGTTTTGGGTTAGCTTTCACTTCTCATGATAATTTTCATATGACTTTTCTTATCACGATAAGGTCAAGCATCCTTTAATCATATGCGTAAGGGCTTACCTTTCCTATCAGTTGCACCTCCATGTCTTTTCCTTTTTCACAATTCTTTGTCAAGTTTCCTCATTTTAAAAAATAAAACTTCTTATAGATATTAATGGCATGAGATCCACAGTTTCCTAGTTTTGAGCTATGTTTTCAATTTGTTTGTGTAATTTTTATTCTGATTTTTAAATTTTTGATTCCATATATAGAATATTGTTGTAAGACTACAACCACTGGTCCAAAGGAAGCAAATAAACACATAAAAATCCAGAAACACTACAAAGGCAAAAGTTTATGGGCCCAGGTGAAGATTTCAAGCAGACCAAACTTGCTACATATTCAGTAACATAGTGCCTGTAGCTAACCCATTTTCTCCTGGAACAAAAAGGTGAATGGGAGACTACATACTCCGTAGTACACACGTAAGATATGATTACAGTGTTCCCCATGTAGGGAAAAAGAAACTTGTTAGAGCTATTCACAAGAATATATCCACTAGAGTCTCAACTGTGAGAAGGGCTCTAAGGAAGGTAGGACGTCAACAGAGATACCAATACAATGTAGCAAGAAAAGTCCTGGGGCCACTGGCACAGGTGGAGAACGCTGTTACCCATGAGGCTCATGTACCTCTGCTTGTGGAAACCTCTTCCCCATGAATGCACATTAGTCTTCATTCACAATTTCCAGCATGGCCAACTTCTGGCATGTAAATATTTACCTCAACTCACTACCATCACCTTCCCCAAACACATCATAAATCCCAGATCTAGTAGGGCACTAACATGGCCCTCAGTCTGGAAATAAGAATAGGATTCCCAATGCAGAAAGTCTACCATAGTGACACGCTAAAGCCGATAATTTCTCACTAGAAAACCAAACACCAAGGAAACATAAGCAGACTCTAGGAAAAAGCAAAGCGATAGAACATAGTGGTTAAGAAAGAAATGCAGCAATGGAGGTGCGCCAGAGAGAATGAGGCATGGAAGCACACACACACACACACACACACACACACACACACACACCAGAGGGACAGAATAAGGAAGAGCTGGAGAACACAGAGCACACCACTGAATCTTATGTGTATGGGAATTGTAGAGAAGAACACCCTCTTTTTGCCCTGTCACCCTCACGCAGGGAAGGGAGAACAGGTAGGCACAGCAGTATGGGAGACCCTACAAAGCTAAGGAAATGCCTCTCTTCTCTAACCAGACCACCATGCCTGCACTCCTCCTACAAGGGCAACAAATTGATGCTCTGTGCCTTTTATGCCCTTCCCCCACCCACCAGGGCTAGACTAGGTAGGGGCGTGGCTTCCTGACCAAACAATGAGGGGTCGTGGCTACTCCTTATCCAGCAAGAGGAATTTCAGAGGAAAGGTCTGGAGGTCCTGGCTAAATTCCCGAGAAACATCAAAATGGGGGTGATAAGTACAAAGTTACAGGAGTTTCAGATGACTGAATCAAAAGGTACCACCACCCAAGCTGGGAAGAAGGATGAGAAATCCAAATATAAGGCCAAGGTGAGCTGCTCCCCTTCTGGTCCTTGTCTAGTTCCCCTACCTTGTCCTCACAGGCTGAGATCTCACCCCTTCCCATGAGTTCCTGTTTCCTCTCCATCTCCACCTTCTTTCCCCAAACCAATCCCTTCCTGTGATCTCCTTCCAGGTAACTAAGAAACCAGTGGTAATGAAGAGATTCGATCAAGCCTGCATGAAAAAGCCACTCCCCCCGAGAGCTCAGACTCCCTTGGTTAAGGTGAAGAAAGAAAGAAAACCACAGAGATTGGGTCTTTACCATCGGCTGAACGAGAAGCTTAACCAGGATGTACAAGATGAACTTGACAAAAGCGAGGACAGCAGTTCCAGCAGCACCTCAAGTGATGACCTGGATAGCCAGTGAAGCAGGATGGAGGCCAGAGACCTCAGAACCATCTGTCACTGTCCAGAGGTCTCCACCCTGTCCAGTGGGCAACTGTGAAGACAGAAACTCTGTAGCTTCTGATGGTCAGATGATAAATTAAATCAAGCTCTTAGGAGTGAAAGCCTATGTCTCTGTGTTCTCTGATGGGAGGGAGCAAGAGGAGTGGAGAATATGGGGGTGGTGAAGCTAGGAAGGGTGAGGGGGGAGGGGAGGGGAGGAAGGAGGGAAGAGAAGGGGGTATGGCTGGGAGGGGGAATGGAATGGAAATGGAGAGGGTACTGAAAGTGGGTGGTTGAGAAGGGTGGCACATTTACAGAGTGTGGAGCAGGATGCAAACATCTAGGAAGAGAAAGAGGCAGGTCCATTGAGGTTGAGGGTCTAAGGTGAATCAGATGTAGGAGATAAGTGTTGGTTATTCAGTCCAGCCCAGAGGCAGGAAAGGCTTTCTCTGCAGGGACTCCCTTTGTAAACTTTGTATACTTTGTAAACTTCGTAAACCCTTGAGGCAGGAAAGAAGCCAGACCCGTGCCTGAGGAGCTCCAGCAGCCAGGCCCCACCCCCAGACCTCCTTGTCATAACTGTGCTTCCAGCCTCTATAACTGCCACAAAGGTCACCTCCTAACCCTCAATAGGACCTGCTCCAGATTATGCTTATTTTAGGTGAAAAGTCTGAACAAAAGCCACCAATCCCTGAATAGTAAAACCTGATATAGCTGTCTCCTGAGATGCTCTGCCAGAGCCTGACCAATATAGATGTGGATGCTCGAAGCCAACCGATGGACTGAGCATGGAGACCCCAATGGAGGAGTTAGGGGAAGGACTGAAGGAGCTGAAGGGGTTTGCAACTCCATAGGAAGAACAACAATACCAACTGATCAGATTCCCCAGAGATCCCAGGGACTAAAGCACCAACCAAAGAATACACATGGAGGGACCCATGGCTCCATCTGCATATGTAGCAGAGGACTGCCTTATCTGGCATCAATGGGAAGGGAGGTGCTTGTTCCTGTGGAGGCTCGATTGACCTAGCATAGGGGAATGCTAGGGAGGTGAGGCATGAGTGGGTAGGTGGGTGGGGGAGCACCCTCATAGAAGCAACGGAGAGGCGAATAGGGTAATAGGGTAGGAGGTTTGTGAAGGAGAAACTGGGAATGAGATAACATTTGAAGTGTAAACAAAGAAAATAACAAATAAAAAACTGCATAGCTGAAAAAAAGAGACATGTAAGTAGCCAGTAAAAAAAAAAAAAAAAAAAATTTAAAAAAAAAGATTACAGAACAAAGCATTAAAAATCATTTCTCTTGTGTGTGTGTGTGTGTGGTGTGTGTGTGTGTGTGTGTGTGTGTGTGTGTGTGTGAGAGAGAGAGAGAGAGAGAGATTTTTAACTGTACCCTTGATAAATGTTCCCATTTTCTTAAAACGTCTTTTATTTTGCAGAAACCTGCTTTTCCCTTCCCTAGCAGGTATCAGTTGCATATAGCTTCTTGGTTAGGGGCAGTTTCCATCTCCTCATCTCAGTGCTGAGGTTATTGCTTGGTTTGAACCTCTGTAAGTCTTGTGCATGCTGTCACAGTTTTGAAAATGCCTATTTTTATCAACTTTGTCCCATCTAGAAAACAGTGTTTCCTTAGTGTTACCCACCATCTCCAGCTCTTAACATTTTTTCTGCCTTCTCTTCATTGTAGATCTCTAGGACTTAAGAGGAGAGATGTGATAAAGACATCCCATTTAGGATTTGCTGATCCAAAGTATCTCACTTTTTGCATACATTGTCAAATTGTGAGTCTCTGAGCCAATTCTCCTATACTGCACGAAGTTTCTCTAATGAAGGCTGATGATGATGCAGTGATGATTTGTTATAGCAATGTGTGTGTCATTGAGAGTTATTTTATTGCTGTATTCCTTTAGCAGAATAATATTAGGTTTTTCCCTGTACCTGTGACCTATCTAGTCTCATATTCTTGGCCACATTATCCCTGCCAACTATGGGTTCCATATCATAGAGTGAACCTTTAATCTAACTAAAAAGTAGTTGGTTACTCACATAAGAGTTTTGCCACTATTGCACCAGTGAATCTTGCAGGCAGGTTACTGTTGTAGATCACAGGGTTTGTAGTCAGGTGATATTAATAATTATTTTTGTCACCTTGTAGCATATAGAGTAACTTTCAGCTCCATGACAATGCAAGGTAGTAGGCATCAACCTTCTAGTTGGGCACCAGCTCAATTTCTCCATGTTGTCCAATGGAGCATTATTTCATATATCGACCATAGATGACCAATACAAAACAGATTCTATATTTTTGTAAATTTTTTGCTCTGTTTTGTTTTGATATTTTTGTCTTATCATTTATCGTTTATTTGATTTAACTTTCATTTTGTATTTTTTTTTTTTTAGAGAGAGAGAAAGAATATGAACCCGTGTGGGTAGAGAGGTGAGAAAGATATGGGAAAAGAGAAAAACATGATCAAAATATATGAAAAGACTTAAATAACAGAATGTTAACAATAACAAGGCAAAGAATGTCTTAAATTTCCTATTGATAATTACTTGTAAAAGTAACATTTCTCTTATTTTGTTTGGCTAAGGAAGTCCCTTTGTATTCTTAGCTTGTGAAGAATCTCTATAAGAAATGCCTGATGGACTCTATCAAAGTTTCATTCTGCATCTATTGTTCTGTTTTATGACTGTTGTTGTTTTGTAGTTTGATAATAATATGAACTTCAGTGATTGGTTTTAAAACATTAAACCAACCCAGCATTCCTGTGATAAACCTCACCTCATCAAGGTGATTAATTGTCACACAGTATTGATAGCCATTTTTCGGAAATGCCTTCTACTATGGCTTCAGGTACAAACCTTGGTTATTTGACTTTTTGTAAGGTTTCATTTTATTTTAATTATGCATATATTATGTGTCTGTGTGGGAGTACATGAATGTGAGTGAAAGTGTCTGTTGAAACAAGGAGGGGCTACTAGATTCCTTGGAGCTTGAATAACATTGTTTGAAGCTGACTAACATGGGTACTGAGAATTGAGCTCGATCAAGTCTTCTGCAAGAGAAGTATGTACTGTTAACTGCTGAACCATATCTCCAGATCTTCTGTCTGTTACATGTAATTTGTTATCTATGACAATGAATTTGTCATCATATAAACTATGCTTGTCATCTTTGTAGGCTACATGTTGGGTATTTGTTCTACAATACTATTTAACTGTTTGATACATAGAATGTAGAGCCTTTCAGGTAAGACCATTTTAAATAATTTAAAGTCAAATTTGTCTTATTCTGCCTGGGCTTCTCTACCAGAACATCTCAAACTGAAATGCAACAGAAATTTGTTTCTCACAATTCTGGTGTCTTCTAGTCTGAGGTGAATATCTTTCACCTTTGCCCTCACTTGTCAGAAGGGTAAGTGTTCTGTAGCACTTTTTCAAAAGGGCTTTAATCCCATTCAAGAGTGGCCCACCTTCACAACCTAATCACCTCAGCATCTCTCTTCTTAGGTATTCAAGTTTCAAAATATAAGTCTTTGAGAGACATACATATTCAGTCAATGGCATACTTTTATTCAATTCTGTTGTGTACCTCTGCTACTCCATCTGCCTGTGAAACATTTTCTCACTTATTCATTTATCAGAGTTCTGAACATCCTCTTCCCTCCTCCAGAGACTAGAAGATTCCACTCTCTTCCTACACTGCTTTCCTCCTCCCCTCAGACGAACAACAGATGGCATACTCTCCGACATGATTTCAAAAAAGCAAAGTTACATAGTAAGATGGAATGGAGAAGCCAAAATGAATGCAAGTTATACAGAGGTCTGGGAAATGCTACAGTCTATAACTGAATCATAAAGAAACTCCATCTTTTCCAATTTTTGTGTCAATGTGCTTGCTTAGGTGTCCAAAGGATCTCCTTTTGGGGGAGCATGAGCTTTCTGTGCAACTGACATTAAGAATCTGAAGATATCAGCTACTTGTTTCAGTGCTACCTGAACATTTTGCTTTTTGAGGAAGTTTTGATACACAAGCAATATCAACATCTGTTTCAAGACGCTCTGCTGGAATTGCAGTTTCGCACAGCCAAATTGCCTATGCTTCCATCAAGGAAATGGCTATTGATTTTATGCAGCCATCTGGGCTCTAACTAGGATGTTTTGTCATTTGTGGTCTTGTTTTCTGTTTTTTTCTTTTAAGGATAAAATTTGATGACTTCACACATAATTCGTTCTGTCATTCATATATATATATATATATATATATATATATATATAATGAATGAACAAATTTATGAGTCAGTGTTCTCTAAGTGGTTCACAATGTCACTCTGGTGATAAACATTTTGTCGTTGTGCCCTGTCTTCCCCCATCCCCAAACTGTACTTGGATCTACAACATTTACACTTTGTTGAAAAACAAGTTAATAAACTCCACAGGGCCCATATGCAGTTGCCTGAAGACTTTTTGTGGGGCTCGGCTCCCTTTCAAAAGAAACAGGCTGTTTAGAAACTCAATCTGCTACCAAGTGTGATTCTCCCTACCTTCCCAGAAGCTCTCACCGTCTATCTTAGCACTTTCAAAACACCATCATCTAAACCATTAGAAACTTTTCTGCATTTTTAAACTGAGGAGCTTCTCAGGAGGAATCGTACAAATGGCTCGTGGTCCAGAGTATAATTTCAGAGACTACCAGGGTAGGAGAAATTATGTGATTTGAAAACAATCAATTTATCTTTGAAAATACAATCTCCATTTTTCTTGAAATAAATTTACTTGGGATTACAGGGTTTATAAAATCTTCCAGGTATTGTAATTTAGAAGAAAAAAAAGATATGAAAGCCTCACTGACAACACATGATTTCTCATCTACTTAGAAATCTCATTTACCTGGAATGAAGCCATAAAATACAGGGTCCATTGAAAGACCTGCAAGCAGCCTAAGTAATTGGGGAAGAGTCCATGTTCCCAAAGCTTATAGACTTTATTCATAGAAGTGTGCTCTGCCCATACTCCATTTACTCTCACATTACACACAATTATATCTAGTTTTCCAGCCCATTGCAGATTAGAATCAGCCAATTAGAATGAAGAGAGGAGCTGCCAAGAGAGAGTCAGAAAT